GAAATAAATTTCATTCTTTTATGACCATTAAAAAGCTTTAGCTCTTTCTGATTCTTGTAAACTCTATTCTAAAAATGCTCATGAAAGGTAAAGAAGGTGGTTTTTCTAGGACCCAGAAAAATATATTGCTTGTAGTAATTCAAATTGCTGAAGAGCTTGTGTCTGTGCAATATGTTCTGTGTAGCATGGCTCTTACTAAGGAGATCAGTAAAGCATTCTAAGGGTGTCAGGATATTTTCCTTGTGAAGACAAATGCTCCCTGCTTGACATGATGCAGCTACCATCTCACTCATTTAAAGACTTCTAGGTAAGAATTAAGCATGGGCACAGCAGCCGAAAGTGAAAGTAAATGGAGTGGAGATATTTTTTCTGTTCTCTCCTCTTCCTTTTTTTTTTTTTCCTTCTATAACCCATCCTCTTTTCAAAGGGACACCAGTCAGAAATACAGATGCGCTTATGTTTGTTTGATGTCCTTGATTATAAAGAGTCCAAATATCAGGAAGCAAAACTCAAGATGATTATATAACCTCAAGGTTGGAAGTTGTCAAATACATTACAATAAAAGAAATTTTTTAAAGGCAGTTTCAAAAACTCCATTCCATCTACACTGTACTGCTCTCAGATCACTAAGATAATTTAGCATCAAAATCAGCGTAGATAATCATAAAAGTGAAAAAGCTGCCACTAGCAGCCTATTAGTTCCAAAGTTTTCCACAGAACCTCAACCAACTTGACATTTTGATCCCATGTGTCAAAGAAGTGGTCAAGGTTGATCAGTCAGCTTTCAACAGAAGAATTGTCTCCTGGTAGAGTGGCAACTATAATCTTATGGTGTTTTTAGGAATGTGATACACTGAAAAATGATATCATAATTAAGTATTTATGAAGTGTTGGTTTTCTACAAACTGGAGATTTAGCAATGATTACTAGAACAAACCACTACATTTCTAAAAGATATTAAAAAATTCATAGAAATCATATCAACCAATGAATTATTTAAAAATCTTGAATTTATTATCTTAAAAAATACAGTACAGGGTGTCGTAATGCCCTGACTTCCTTGTTACATAATGTATATGACAAACAGAAAGTCCAAAAAAAGGCAAATTGCTGTCTCCCTAATAGGATCTGATATGTTAATCCTTTGTTCCTTTCTCACTTAATACAGATGCCTTTCACTAGTAAGTTCTCATATTCTAATAATCAATATGAAAAATATTTATATTCAATACCATTGTCATTTTTTCAGTCATGTTATAATATTTGTAGTGTGTTGAGTACAGCAGATATTTATTAAAGGAAGCACATGCAAATAGGAATAAAATACCTATATGTACAAAGTAGCATGGTATGATTTCTACTTAATATTTAATAATACATTTGTAAATTTTCCCTGCATTAACATAATGGAAAACAATAAATACAAAAATTACGTAATATAAGAATACCAAGAAAGTAAAAAGGTCTTCATAGATAAAAATTGTTGACCCTGGGAATTTTAAGCACTAGGGATAGTGTGCTGTCAACTAGTCCACCTGTCTGGGTTGTCAGGTTCACTGCTCACAAATGCTCCTCCTAAAATTTGCTCTCCTGAGAATGTTCCTATAATTTGGTGTAATGTGTTTTTTTTTTTAAGTCTCAAAGGACAGGAGAGGCTCAGGATTCTTTCTGATTCTATGAAATTTTTGCATGTCATCTGGATATCTCTTTATTAGGACAGGTGACTGATACAGACTGGCAGCAGGACTGGAAGTGAGGACTGACTCTGCAGGACTTCTTTCCTTTCCACCCTTGGAGCACAGAAGCTGAAGATTAAGCCTGTGAGCAACAACAACAAAGTTCAGATTCCAAGAAAGTAAAGAAAAAATAGAGAAGAAGGGGAGTCTCTTTCTTGGTAAGAAATGTTAGTGACTAGCTGACTTTTCTTCTGCCCAGTAGAGTCACTTGAATGTCTCACAGGCACTTCAAACTCAACACATCCAAAAAGAAAACCACTGTATTGCTTCCCAAACCTGCTCCCCCTCACTCCATAATCCAGGTCTTTGCTATTTTCTCTATAATGCAACTGGGCACCCAGCCTGGGAGTATATTACTATAGTCCTCGTTGTCCTCATTCCCCATTGCCCACATTTAATCAATCACCACATCTGGAGATTTTTGTCTTCTAAACATTTTATTCTGCCTCTCCATCTGCATCCCTACTGTAACTGCAGCCCTAGTTTAAGCCCTTGTCAATTTCCAGCAGGATATTGACTTTTCTGCTGCCAATCTTACTCCTTTTGAATTAGTCCTCTACATTGAGATAAACACACAGTGGTTTATCTCAAGCACAGATCTTCTCTCACTCCTCTTCTGATTCACGTCCTTAACTGTACTCTATCACTAATGGGATACAGTTCAAGATCTGTTGTTTAAGGTCAATGTGAGTGTGTAGTCATCAGGGAGAAGAAGGAAGAGGCAACTTGCCACTTCTTCATAGGAAAAATAGCCAGACCTTTGGTTTAGTATTTTGGGCTTTTTATTTGTTTGTTTGCAATGCAGAAAAACTACCTGTGTTGGTCCAAAAAAGAGTTAGAGATGGAGATTTCTTGTGCCCAAAGTGGGAAAGGGGTCTTGGCCCCATCTGGCAGGAGTTAGATGGCATTGTGTTTCCCATGGCAGTGCTGGTGCTTTGTTACAGTTTGGGAAGAAAATGATTGTGGTGTGTGTGTGGAGGAGATGGGCAGTGTTTTTCTGGTGGTGACCTGTACGTAGTCTGCTCTTTTGAGGTATGGTTGGTGGAGGCAGGTCTGTTGATAGAGATGACTGCGCTGTTGCCTTATATGGGGGAAAGTTGGACACTTCTTGTTATTTGGATAGCAGTCAGAGTCTATGTCAAGTCTTAGGGTATAAAAAGGACTGTAGATTGGGTTATCTAACTTCCGACCAGAGCATCTGTGACTGACGGTGGTCAGCACATGCCAGAACATGGTGTAGCAGAAGGAGCACCATGAATTAACGAATGATTGCAGACCCAGCCTCTCCCTCAAGTAGTAGACTAATTTCCTAGGCGTGTCTTATCTCCAAGGTTGGAGGTTGAGGTGTCCCTCAAAATGATAAATGGTTTCTTGATGACATTAATGAAAGAAGAAAGTAGTTCATTCTTCACTCTATCCCAGTAAAGTCTATGCTTTACCCTGGGAGATGAAACTTCCTGTGACTTATTGCCCTTCACTACTTCTGTTCCATTCCCCAGCCTTCCTGAATTGACCTAGATTCTGTAGGCCAGTGATTCTCAAGCCATCTATAGTGAAAGACCAGGTTGGTTTCCAAAAATATCTAATCAATGGCAAACTAATGTTTAAAAACAATAACATTAATTAAATGTTGTAGCAATACAGATTGCTATCACAATTTTAAAAGTGTTTATAACTTCTTTTATATACCATGCAGTTTCACTATCCATTGCCTTTGCACATGTTGAAGGAAAATCTGTCCTTTTCTTAGGCCACTTTTTTCCTCATTCTGTAAGTGTCAGCTCAAATATCATCTCTAAGAAATTTGCCATTAAGCTTCAGTGTGCAACGTCTGTCATTACATACCACTATCTTATTTACCACATTATACTAAAATTATTTTTCTTGTGTGTGTGTGTGTGTGTGTGTGTGTGTGTGTGTGTGTGTGTGTGTGTGTGAGTTAGAGTCTCACTTTGCTGCCCAGGCTGGAGGGCAGTGGCACAATCACAGTCACGGTCACACCAGCGTCGACCTCCTGGCTCTGGTGATCCTTCCACCTCAGCCTTCCAAGTAGCCAGAACTACAGGCACACGCTACCACGCCTGGCTATTTTAAAAATTTATTGTAGAGAGGAGATCTCACCAAGTTGCCCGGGTTGATCTCGAACCCGTGGGCTCAGGCAATCCACTCACCTCAGCCTCCCAAAGTGCTGGGATTACAGGCTGAGCCACTGAGCCCGGCCATATGTGTTTCTATAAGCTTCCTGAAGACAGCAACCATGTCATGTCTTCTTTATACCTGCCTGGTACTTGGCAAGGAGTAAGGTTTCAGTAACTTTTTGTTTAACTGAGCCCTATTCCTCTGTAGGTGAGTTTCTAAGTGGGGCCCAGAGTTTGTAGCTTAGTTGGCAACATCTAAATTTGTGCGAATAAGATAATGCTCATGATTAAAATAGCTTTAATAGTTTTCTCAATGATCAGCAACCTATATAGGAACAAATGGAAATTTTATTAGCATGTGTTTCACACTGACAATCTTTCTCAAGAAGTAGATCTTGCTTCATTAATAACTTTTTCACTAGTTGATAGTTTAAGTTTGTATGTCTGTACCAATATCAGTCTTTTTTATTTTTTACAACACTATAATCCCTCTAAAAGTCAGTGTGTTGGCTTCAGTAACAATGATACAGGACTTAATGGTCACTGAATCATTCAAAACTTAAAATCTTGTAAATTTGTGTTCTTATAATGAATGATTGCTTTATGATAAGATTTCATAATAGATTTTTCACAACAATACTATCAATACTTATAAGCAAAGACTCACAATGTCCTTAGGTGAAAATGTCATTTTACCCTGGTTTTATAGATGTTGAACCCAGTGCAAGATAATACAGAAATCTGGCAAATAGGGAATTGGTTCAGGGCCATAAAGTAGGATCAGAAAATACAGTCAACCCCTTGTACCCACAGGTTTTACGTCCATGGATTCAACCAACCATAAATGGAAAATACTCAGAAAAGATAAAAATAAAAAATAACAGTACAACAATTAAAACAATTCAAATAAAAATACAATGTGACAACTATGTATACAATGTAATATTTACCTTGTATAAGGTATAAGCAATCTAGAAGTGATTTAAAGTATACAGGAGAATGTGCATAGGATATATGCAAATAACCATGCCATTTTGTGTAACAATCTTGAACATCCACAGATTTTGGTATCCTCAGGGGTTCTGGAACCATTCCACCCCACCCCATCTCCCTATGGATACTGAGAGACAATTGTAAATCTCCTTTATTTACAATATTTTCCTTTTAGCCCCTGTTAGTACATTTAAAAATGAAAGAAAAATAATTGACAAACATGTGAAGCTCTTCTGGAAATTCACAAAGGTGCTCTTAAATTAGATGATCAGGGTACCATTTAGAAAATTACAGAGGTACAGGGAATTGAATGTGAGGGAAAATAGAAATAGCTAACATTCCACATTGCCAAGTGTTTGTGGGATGGGATTTCATACAAGCACCTAGACTTTCCAGCATCTCAGTTCTTCATTGGTCTGAGACTCCCTTCACTCCTCAACCTGCCCGTAGTCTCTGAGTGGAAGGGAAATGAGAACAATTGGAGAGAAAAAAGCAGTGAGCATTAGCTACAACAGTACAGACATGGTAATAGAACAGTCAAATGGTTATCTGTTCCATTCTAACTTTTTACCATTTAATTTTATAGCTTGGACATATTTGCATGTTATTACAAATTACTTTGAGAATTCTTTTTTTTTTTTTTTTGAGTCAGGTTCTCACTCTGTTGCCCAGGCTGCAGTGTAGTGGCATAATCATGGCTCGTTGCAGCCTCAACCTCCTGGGCTCAGGTCGTCCTTCTGCCTCAGCTTCCTGAGTAGGACTGCAGGTGCAAGCCACCATGATCAGTTAATTATCTTACTGTTTGTAGAGACAAGGTCTTGCTATGTTGCCTAACCTGGTCTCAAACTTTTGAGCTCAAGCAGTCCTCCTGCCTTAGCCTCCCAAAGTGCTGGGATTGCAGACATGAGGCACCATGCCTGGCTGAGAATTACTTTTATTGGTTGTATAACATTGTAGGACAGAGCATAAATTATTTATAATTTCCACATCAATAGACATTTAAGCTGTTCTATGTGCTATGTGTTTGCTATAATTCTTGTGCATGATTTCATATTCCCACTAAGGGCAAGGATCATAGCTCATAAGTATTTTGCGATTCCTGTCTGCCTGCCACATTACATTAAGTATAATAATCTGTACAAAATAGATGATTAGTATATGAAGCAACAAGCGTTAAATATATCTAGGATCTTATTTTGAGACTGAAATTTTTAATACAGGCAATTATTTCTATATTACTGTTTGCTGTTGCATAGAGATTTAAAGACTTTTAAACATTTTTTCTCAAACTTTCTAAGTCTGATGAATACATTCTTATTTATTCTGAATCTCTGAGTTGATACCAATTTCTAGTAGACAACCTAAATATTAATTACTCACTAGTTATTGAATTCAAAGTACAGTGATGGAACTATGTTAGAGAAAAAAGTAAGACAGACAGTAGAACTGACAAATAGCAAACAGATTTCTTTCTACTACTTTCTGATCTTTACTTTTCAGAACATCATTATATAATTCCAAAAGTACACAGAACAACAACAAAAGTTATTTACCTCTGCAAATCAAAGGACACGGAATCAGAGACTAGAAATATTCCTTAAAGCACACAAATGGAAAGGAATGAGTACGGGATAATAATTTATTTTATTAAGCTGGCTTGGGTTAGCACTATGCCTTGTTTCTTATATACCTTTTCTTTCTTTTTCTCTTTTTATCCCTCTTTAGGAAGACTGTCTTTCTCCAAGTTGGACAACTAGTTACTGATATTTGAGCACTTTGGTAATCTAGAAAACAACCTTTTACTAGTCACTGGGTTACAGTGCAACCATAATTGATGTGGAAGGAAGCTTTCCACATGCTAGTGAGGGCTGGTCAATATCCCTTCACGTTCAGCTTCTCAAAATTTCCCGCACATGCATCCACTGCATAAGGAGAGACAAACTCCCATATTTCTCTTTCTAATCCAACACTAATTACTGGCTAAAGAGGGGTGAAATTCTGGTGCTGATGCATTTACGTCTGGATGCCACTCTGTCTCCGTTTTCTGCTACTGGCCAGAGAAGCATGGCAGGCACCATTTATTCAACAAGCAATTGCTGAGTGTCTGTAACATCACAGCAATAATACCTGGGCAGTAGACATAGATACAGTAATGATATTTCTCACTCTGGACACTTTACCCAGAGTAACTATCACGTGGTCAGGTTAATTCTGTGCATGTATTTATTTATTTTTCTTTTTTTATCGTTAATTGCTAATGGGTAGATTCTTCTGCAGGTTCTATAAAACATAAACACTAATTGCAAGAATACTTAATCCATGCTTCCTGTAACAATTAAATTAAATCAAAAGAAAATTTCTTCACCCAGTTCTAGGAAAGTAAAAGGAAACCCTGTCCCAAGTTGAAAGTGTTAATTCCAAAGCAGGCCTGACATTGACCTGAGCTGTTTTACTGAAATAAGAAATGTACCTGCATTGCTCTGACTCTTGATCAAGACATGGAGCACACTTTTGAGTAATTTCCACTTTTTTTAATGATTAACAATTATTGCAGTTAAGATTCATGTTTATGTGGTCTCATTGAGACACCTGAGGGCTCTATCACTCGACTGATTACACAGCAAGAATATGTCTATGTGACCAGCTGAGTGTAAGAAAACACAGCTGAGACTGCGTCTTTGACTTTGTTGGAAGTGTTTTGTCCACATACTCATGGGTCCTAGATCCAGAGAGAAAGTGCATGCTGGTATGGTCCTTATAAAGGGAGGGCAGTTGGGCCTCTCCGTCCCCTCTTAGCTTCTCTGAACCAGACTTTGGCTGTAATGCACATCTCTAATTTGGTGTGGCTTCTATGCAGTATCCTTTTCCTACAATAAATTTCACATTTGCAAGCATTGCTACTTGGTCTCTGTGAGTCTTCATTAGCAATATAAGCTTAACTGCCACAGTTAGTGTGTGTTCAGTTACCAAGTAAGCAGATTGCATTTATAAGAAAACATCATCAACAGGCAGAAAGAGTAAATTGTGTCAATTCTTAACTGGGCAAGGCAATTTCTACACTGGAAGATTGGAAGAATCTTCTACAATCACTAAGACTTTCATTTTTCTGGAAAATCTTAGAATTTGTTTTTACACAAATAGACAGTGATGGTTTTGCTGACACAAACCATTAACATTTTTAGCTTATGAAGTCTTTAAAAATAATCTAGATTGCAGTGGGCTAACAAAACAGACATAAATGGGTATCCCAGTGAATGAAATTAGGAAACTTACATATTTATTGCCTAGGTGTGGGGAGGATTCATCAAGCTGTCAGTTCTTGCTTTTTCCTTGCGCAGTATGTTCACCTGAGAATAGAATATGTATTTTGATCTATAAGTTCAGAGAGTGACTAAGGAAATAAAGTTTCCTAGCTTGTTTTTTTGCTTTTCAAGGAAAAGTCCAATTCTCCTGCAAGAATGTCATTAGAGCCACAATTTGCCTCTTGGTATTGTCTGGAAATTATTCACTAAGATTTATGAGCTTTTTTCCAGCCATTTTCACTCTAAAAGAGCAATTCTAACTAACTCCCTGGGGTGCAGGGGATGTGTGCTGGGAGATGATAAACAGAGAAACTCTGGGGAATGAGTTATTGATTTTTGCCTGTTACATAGGATGGCTCTGCTTAAACAAACCCATATCATATATTTAAAGTGCCATTTCATCAGGAAGACAATCTGGGGTCCTTCTGCTTAAATAAGTCAGTGACAGTTTTATGAAAATGAACTTATAGACCCACATGAAACCTTTGGTGACATATAGAGCAGCACATCCTATATTACTTAAAATTACAATGCTATTCCACTATCCAATATAAAGATAAATATTAACCTAGGATGATGTCAAGCTGAGAGACCTCAGGCATTTTTTATATGCCACTGGATTTGTGACCAACATATTTCACATTACCTGTGTCTTTCAGGTAGAATCAAGTATCGACATCCGTCACACTACATAAAAGCAGTATAGGTCAAAATCTTCAGCTTTTAGAATAAATACCTTCATTTTGCTATAGCTTTTATCTGCCAGTGGTTAGGAAATCTGTCCTCTGGGGACTCTGTGGATGTCACCTGTTACTTGCATGGTCATGGCAATAATGAATAGTGCAGAGACCTCTGAGAAGAACAAACTGTCAGAGTCAATACCTTTTTTCAGTTTACCTAGAAGCTGCTTTAAACAGGTTGGTGCTCCTATGTTGGGTGCATATATGTTTAGGATGGATATTTCTCATTGATGAATTAAACTTTTTATCATTATGCAGTGACTTTCCAAATCTTTTTTGATTTTTTTGTAACTTAAAGGATATTTTTTCTGATATTAAGATCACAACTTCTGCTTTCTTTGTGTTCTGTTTGCCTGAAAAGTCATTTTCCATCCTCTTACTTTGAGTCTGTGAATGTCCATTCTGGTGAAATGAGTCTCCTGGAAACAGCATATTGTAGTATCATGTTTTTTTTATTCAGTTTGCCCTTGTATGTCTTTTCAGTGGTGCATTTAGTCCATTTACATTCAGGCTAATTGTTGAGATGTGAGGGTTTATTCCTATCATGAGGTTCTTACAGGATTTGTCATCGTAATTGTTTGTTTATTTGTTGATTTTCTTTTGATTTTTGAGTTGAAATGTGTGTGTTTTCAATCATTTTCCTGCCTTCTTGCAAAGGCCTAACATCTAGGTCTATAAGAACTCAAATGTGTCAAAAATACAAAAACAAAAACAAACAACCCTACTAAAAAGTGGACAAAAGATATGAATAGACACTTCTCAAAAGAAGACATGCAAGCAGCCAACAGACACCTGAAAAAAAAATGCTCAGCCTCACTAATCATCAAAGAAATGCAAATTAAAACCACACTGAGATACCACCTTAACTTCAGTCAAAACGGCCATCATCAATAACAAAAAACAACAGATGCTAAAGAGGATGAAGAGAAAAGGGAATACTTCTACACTGTTGGTGGGAGTTTAAACTAGTACAACCTCTGTGGAAAACAGTGTGGTGATTCCTAAAAGGTCAAAAAATCAACCTTCCATACAACCCAGCAACTCCCCTCTGGGAATATACCTAGAAGAACTCAAATAATTCTATGGCACATGCATGATTATTGCAGCATTATTCACAGAAGCAAAAACATGGAACCAACTGTGCTGACCATTGAAACTGGACTGGATTCAGAAAATGTGGTACATATACATGATGGAATATTACGCAGCCATAAAGAAGGACAAAATTATGAACTTTACAGCAACTTGGATGAATTTAGTGTTTATAATACTCAGTGATCTATCACAGAAACAAAGAACTGAGTAGTGCATGTTCTCAATCATAAACAGACCTAGAACAATTATCATAATACTATAAGAGAGGGATTGGCAGTAATGAGAGACTGGCAACGGAGGGAGGGGAGACACATTTCATCATTAAGGGTATCTGATCTCAAACCAGGTGAAGTGGGGAACAAAATGAGGCCCAAAATTCACCTGTAAAATGACCATTTGTATACCTAACCCTGAATTGTATCCATCTTTAAAATAAAAATGTTAATAAATAAATAAACAGATGAATGAATGAATAAATAAATAAATACAAGAACAACTTTGGACTCCTCTTAAGAGGTCCCCTGATGAGAAATGATAGACACAGTGCAGCAGCCTCCAGAACCCTGTCCAATGACAACCTTTTGCTCACTATTGTTTATTTTGCAAATGACATGGCATTTACTAGAAACCCATGGCTATGAAGTTGTAAATGACACAGCCCTATGCCTAGAAACCAAGAGCTATAAATGAAGAGTAAACAAAATAAACATTTTTTTGAATCTCTATCAGAAGTAATATAGTCTATCAGAAGTAATATAAAGAAAATCATTAAAATTTTAAATATTTCTCTTCAAGGTCTATCTAATTGAGAACAGAATATTTGACAAAGGTTTAATAACAGTATGATTTCAGTAACAGTTATAATAGTTATATCTAGTACTGTAGTTTGGATGGTTGTCTCCTGAAAATTTCATGTTGAAATGTAATTTCTAGGGTTGGAGGTGGGGCTCAGTGGGAGGTGCTTGGGTCACGAGGCAGATCCCTCATGAATGGCTTGGTGCTGTAATGAATAACTTCTCATTCTATTGGTTCACATGAGACTTGAGCGGCCACTGCACTCCAGTCTGGGCGACAGAGTGAGACTCCAACTCAATAAATAAATAAATAAATAAATAAAAATAAAAGAGCCTGACACCTCTTTATCTCTCTCTTGCTTCCACTCTCATTATGTGACATGCCAACTCCTCCTTTGCCTTCCTCTGTGATTGTAAGCTGCCTGAGGCCTCACCAGAAGTCACACAGATGACAATATGAGCCAAATAAACCTCTGTTCTTTATAAATTACCCAGCCTCACATATTTCTTTGTAGCAATGCAAAACAGACTAATACACCTATGGTAAAAAGAAAACAAAACATACACATATCTAGAGGAAAAAACAACTGGAAGGAAATATACCAAATATCAACAGTGATTGTATCAAGGTTGTGTTTCATGGATAGTTTTAAATTATTTTTTATTTTCCATTATGTATAATGTGGTTAAATATTAAAAAGGTAGTTTAAATAATGAGCAAATATTTTAAGAAGTAATATATGTTAATCTGCCAAATTAACAATGTGTTGAGATGAGGGAACAACCACATAGTTGCAACAGTCAAAAAAGCTTTGGTGGGAATACAGAAAATGTGCCAAATGTTTTCTGAAAGACTGAGGCCTGGCATGGTGGCTCACACCTACAATCTTAGTAATTTTGGTGGCTCAGGTAAGAGGATTGATTGAGGCCAGGAATTTGAAACAAGTCTGGGCCACATAGTGAGACCCCATCTCTACAAATAAGACAAATAAATAAATAAACTAGGCATAGTGATGCATGCCTCTAGTCCCAGCTACTCGAGAGGCTGAGGCAGGAGGATTGCTTGAACCCAGGAGGTCAAGGCTGCAGTGAGTCATAATTGTGCCACTCCAGAATGGGTGACAGAATGAGACTTTTTCTAAAAAAAAAAAAAGGCTGAGAAGAAAGATGTATAGCTTTATAAATCTGTGAATATTTTGCTCATTTTAATTCTTTTGTTCATTTTTGTAGTTAATAGAGTTTTATTTGCAAAAATAAATAAGCAACAAATGATGATTACACATTGAATGAGTAATTGTCATAATACAAGGATTAGAATTAGTATACTAAAAAAATATTAATGATGTATAATTATCACAGGAGGGGAAAGTGAAGCAAAGGACTGTCTCTTTCTTCAAAAAAGCTTGAATTCAGACTGGGGAATATGCATTATTAAAGTATTAAGTGCTTTAAAAACTGAGCGAGAGAAAGCTAACTCATCACGGAAGACCTTGTAGACTTGCTGAGGCATTTGAACTTAATCTTGGGTTATGACTTATCAGTTTTCTAAGCAGAGGAATAGTATAACAAATTCAAATCTGCTTTTTCTTACTCTAAATGGTTCCAAATCAACTAATACATTTAAACTCAGTTCAGTAATAGAGTGTTTTCCTTCTTCTGTGGAGTCATGTATTTTTTTAAACTAATTTTAAGGCTTCTTTATAATTCATATAATCTTATATATTAAAAATGAGCTAAGGTATATTAACTTTCTGAGTGGTGATATGCTTAAGAATTATGCATAAAATGCATCATGTCACACACATTCTGTAAACAATCATGGTCATATTAAATTTGACAAGGTACCTTACTAAAGTTGAGTGTGCTCTCATATGCTTTTATAAAGAATCCCTTGATCAGACACATTTGATATTCAATTTTTTCTGAAAACATCTTGCTATAAGCTAGCAGGTTTTCTCTTTTACAGTAAAGAAAGCTCCAACTTTAAGCATGTATGAGCTACATTTTCACCAGAAGATCTTGCTTGAGGAAGAACATATTTAAAGGAAGCTGAGAGTGTGGATGGGTGAGCACCCACTATGGTAGGTACTCTGTGACCTAACCAGAAAAGCTGGGGTCAAGGAACTGTCTTTCTAGGAGCAAATGATCAGAGTTCTAACTGTGGCTTATTGAGGCTTGTAGAAGCCCAAAATATTTAGCATCCGCTGGCATTTTCCCCGAAGGTGGATTGCCGCAGAGGTCTTTTTCCTTGGAAACATTGTTTGTTGGTCTCTACAATGGTACAATTCATTTTGAGATAAAAGTCCAGAGTTTATATATTGAAATAATGACAGGTTCAAATAATTTTTATGGTCACTAAAGCTCAAATTTCATTGTTATCCACTTAAGCTCAACACTGTATTTCTTAGGCTTTGAAGCAAATACATTGGTAACAAACTAAATGCTTTTTCTGCCACTCCTGCAGAATAGGAAATGCTTTCAGCCACTACTCATTCATTAGAACACATCTACACAATAGAAAGCAACCTCTACAGGCCACGTAGTTCAATAACCTTATAAAAATGGTATTTCTGGGGCTCATCTTTCCTTTATAAGAGAATTTTACATTTATTGAATTTTAATGCTTAGCTGTTCTAAAATAAGTTAAGCTTTTTGGTAATATTTCACATGAGCAAAATCCAAGGTTATGGTTAGATTTTGAAATAACCACTTCTACCTAATCAGCAGTCAGGGAACTTACCAGACTCATGAGAAATTGTCTTCACAGTGAGAAGCTTCACGCTCTCTTTATCAGACTGAGGTCTATTTGAAACAGAAAACAGAAAACATTGTTAGCACCACACTAATTAGCATTGTATGTCTGTGAAAGAAAGTGAATGTGACACACACAGAATGAAGGTATACATGCATGTGACACACATGCATGTGTGTGTGTGTGTGTGTGTGTGTGTGTGTGTGTGTGTGTGTGTGGCAAAAACTTTGTCTCTTCACATACAAGCACACATACACTTTTGACTTTTGAGCAATTTCCATTTCTGGAATCAAGCCAATAAATTCCTGTTGCTCTGTTATAGTGATGACCATCAGACAAATTAAAAACTAATATGAGTTATGTGAAACACTTGTCACAAGGACCCTATTGCATATATATCCAGTTCTGAATCATGAAGAGGAAGGCATATAAATGTTTTCAAACCTTTTGGGCTGATGTTGAATTCTGGAAATTCTCCTTTTCATAAAGTCCTGAGATATTGTAGTACAGTATCTGAACTATTTGTTTTAACCAGGATTTCCTACCTATCCTAGTGTTCAACCCTAATTCCTTCCTCTCAGGAGCTTCCATTTCTAATTTAGATAGGTAAATAATCTAGGGATATTATTTCTGATGTTTATAACCTGAAGAAATACATCAATCCTTTAAAGTCAGGCTATAAATTCAGGTCAACAAAGAAGACTTAACCACAGGATTTGTTTTTGACATGAAAACAATTTATCAGTGTAACAGTTGCCTGGATTGTTAACAACTGCATTGTTTTATTTTTTACTTATCTACCTGTTTGTCTGTCTATCTATCTATCTATCTATCTATCTATCTATCTATCTATCTATCTATCTATCTATCTTATTGGAATGTGGGTTACAAGTAAGAGTTAGCTATATAAGTAGTTTGCATGTGTGACATTTGAGCTTCTGGTTCTCACTCCCGGAGAATGAACCAGGTACCCTTTGTGCTTTGTTTGTTTTAACCAAGTCAAAGTTAGATAACCATCTACAGTTAAGGCAAAGCTACTGAGAGCCAGCTCAAGGTACAAGCACAATTTTCCTGTGGTAAACATACTGATAACTTTACTGGGAAAATTTTAAACCTCTTGGTATGTTTTGCATGATATTTTCCTCATATTCATTCTTCCACTTTTCCATTTCATCTTTTCTTTCCCTATTTTACCACTTTATCCAGGCTTATGGAGCAATCTTCTCTTTTAGCTGTTGGAATTTCTTCGTTAAAAAGAGAGAACTCTGACAAATAGCTAGACCCAATATATAGTGCCTTCTACACAAACTTCCTTAGATAACAATAAAAAAAGCAAGTACAGTAACAATAATTTTCCCTATATGAATGGTAGGATCAGAGTGTCTAGGAAAAAAAAAATGATGTGGGTTTACTTACTGATCATTCCCATTTTCTGGTGTGCCTGGGAGAGGAGAAAGTTATTATCAGAGTTGCAAGGAGCTTGGTTAAAAAAAAAATTAGACACCTACTCTTTCTGTGCAGAGATGTTTCAAAAGCCAGTTTTAAATTTTTTTTTTTTCCACCACAAAATGTTTCCTCAGATATGGTTAATACTCATCCTGACATTCACTAGATAGTCTTAATTAAGTCAACTCCAGTGAACTTAGTTCTGGACTAATTTTGATCTTGTAATTTCATATTATTATGTGAAATTATCATCCACTAGTACACATCCCACAGACACCAAAAAACATCTCGGTTTATTCAAGTATCTTTGTAAAAATTCTCTTCACAGTATTGAGTTTCCCTTTTATACCAGAGAATTGAATTTTCTACTTTGTGTTATACATTACTGTTTCTTGGAACACAAATCACTGTGTTTGTGGTGAGCTACAATGCAGATATTGTTTTTAATTGCATCTTAAACCCACTGGTCAGCCTTTCATAAGAGCCCTGCAAAATGTCACTGAGGCTGCTGGCTGCAACTAATCTTTTGTACTCTTTGCCAGGCGACTTCACAAATGTCTAGTAGAAAACACTTTGGGTTTAGAGTGAGAACTCAGAATGATTCACTCTGCACAAGGACATGACCTCTCTGGAGTAAATGTTGACAGTCAAACCTTGCATTCATTTGTGGCCAGTTTGAACAACTGTCCCTATGTTGTTCTCTTGATTTTGCCCTGGTTTTATTCTATTATTATTCAGCTCTTGTTTCTTGGATTTTCTTTCACATCTAATCTAGCTTTTGCCATCAAATATGCCCTTTGAATATAAGTCACCTGGCTTTTACCATCTTTGTTTTATAAAGAACTTGACTTCCATGAATATTTTGGCTGTTTCTGTCACCTTGGCTGAGACATCCCATCATAACTCTTAATCCTTATTATTTAACCCTTGACATCATATGCTACTTGTCAACTAAATCTAACCTCGTCTTCTCCCCATCAGTAAGGTTTTAACAGCATTTTTTTATTTCTATAAGTGTCATATGCAATATCACCTGTGATGCTCACAGCTCTGTTTTAAAATGAGTTGACTTTTCGTGTATGCCTGTTTTGATATTTTTTTCTTAGAATACTGTAATAATGGGATCATTAGCAGATCAATGCCTGTCAACAGACCATTTTGTGTACATATACTATTCTTATCTGGTTAAAGTACAGCTTGCTGTCTACCTTATTTTCATACTGAAATCTCGGATTCATGATGTCTTCCAGAGAAAAGACTGGGTTTACTAATTTTCAGAACTAGATGAAGTCTCACCCACGTATTTGAGGAGTGATTGACTGTAAATGTTTAATGGTGCTAATTTAATGATAACAATGCCATAAATTCTGTTTGAAAAACAAAGTTAACAGTAACCAAATAGATGTGGTTAATTGTACAACTGCCAAATTTTGTTTTAAAGTACTCATGTCTTCAGAATAACTATCCACAGTGGTAGGAATTTTATACATCCATAAAGTCCTCTTTAATAGAAAATGTTATCTTTTCAGATAATGTAATTTTAAGTCTTCCTGTGAAATTTTTAAAAATATTAGCAAAATGGATTTAGCACACTAATTTTTACCTATTCTATATATTTAATACCCACAAGCTTCACCTTGGATGACTGATTTCCCATAAAAGATAGAGTTGGTAGTTCAGAAATTTAGAGAAATTAAACTGGTTTATAGAAATGTTATTTCCCCTCTGGAAACTGGGTAAGGAGTCATATTTCAGACACGATTAAGAAGTTTAAAGACTCACTCCCAAAGGAAAAGACATTGATTTGTTTTCTTCTTACTTTCCACCAAGTGCTAAAACGAACACTGCTGTTTTGGTCTCCTAGCTTTCCCTGGCACTTGTGATCGTGCTCTAAATTGCCCGTGCAACACATAGTCAGTGGCCAGTCTCAGGAACAGCATTTATTAGTATCCTGGGGCACACAGTACATGGGGTAATCAAAGAATAATGCTGCTTATATAATTTACACAAATATTTTTAAAAAAATCTTTGACAGTTTATGAGACTTAGAATTTTTTTAATGAATTATGTAGAATCAAAGTGAGGAAAGAAGATTCTATTTTGCTGAACATTTAAAAATTTAAATCAACAAACATATAGTAAAGGTTTACTATATATTAGGGGCAATGCAATGTAAACAATATGTGGTTTGTGACTTGGAGGAGTTGCCTGGCTTACAGAAGAGGCAGACACATTAAAAAGTAATTATACTCTAGTATGATGAATTATATCATCAAATTCTGTAGAATTAAAACAAAAGGAGCAATTCATGATGCTTGAAGAAGTGGGGTGTTTGAGTTTGATCTTTATGGACAATTGGCAACTAGGTATGTTATAAAAATGAGGAGGTAGGCTGAACATTTCAGGATAAGGAATGGTATGAATGAAAGTATGGACACAGACATTACACCGCACTAGCAGGACTGGAATTGAGAATTGAAAGATAAATTGAAGTTAAGGTAACATAGGAGTTAAGGTAACATGACAAGTTGAGCCGTGGGAGCTGAAGAGGTATTTAGGTGACACACGGCATAAAAAGAAAGTCAAAGTTCTTGGGACAATAAGGACAAAAAAAGACTGAATAAAGACTAAAAGAAACCGGAATACAGGAGGGAATTTAGTTAATAATAATTTATCACGTTTGGTTCATTAATTAAGACAAATATACCATATTTATTTTTTTCAAAAGAATAAAAAATATGACAGTCATGGAAGGAAGCTTCATTGGAAAGAAGTTGTGCCTCTGAGGAGGGAAATGAGTCACCGGACATTTCTTGAATTTATGGGCTGAATTCTTAGCAAGTCCTCTATTCTCTGTCACATGGAAATAGAATAAATCTTCACTATAGACAAGGCATGTCATTTTATGCCCTCTAGACTACTATATTCCGTTGACCACCCACAACATTTGGGCTATTTTATTAAGACAATTTTCTCACATTTGGTACTATTTACTAGTAGCAGTTAATTTCCACACGTTATATCTACTAGCATTTTATGGGTTTCTTTGCTCCTTCTCCTTTATTTCTGTAACCAGGAAATGTGGCATTTTATTTCTTTTTTTAAACTCTTCTCTCGAAGAGTTTAAAACCAAGTTTAAATTGAGGATATACTCACTCTCCTTTCAGGAAAACAAAACAAAACACTGTTACCTACCTGGGTCTGTCTTCCAGCACATTCGATACAAACCCACCAGAACAAATACTGAAAATGTTATTACAATTAAAGCAATAACCACCGGCAAAATAATACCTAAAAAGAATTGGAGATATTATCAGTTAGAGTGGCTATTACATTTTACATAGATAGTTTACTGAGTGATCAAAACTGCATATGGTTTCTTTCTTAAAACATCATTCTATTAGAAACATTATATTTCAGGAAAAGATGATTTATCTGATTCAAAGGTTTTGTTCTAGTTGTCATTTCAGATATATCCACTTGATGTCAGTCTTGCAACCTTTCTGAAACAAAATTCCAATCCTAAGAGAGATAGATACTCCATCTTCCTGGAGGCTGAAGGAGTGAGGAGATGGAACACTGGAGGAGCAGAAGATGTCCTCTAGATTATAATTAAACCTACATTTACACATGATATTCCTTAGTAGTTTATAATGAAGTTACTGGAAAAAAATGTATAGCCCATTTGGGACAGCTATAGTTCTGATGCTGGATTTCTAAAATACTCGTAGATATCTTTCTATAATAATATCTTAAAACTAGAAAAGGCATGGAATAATATAAGTGGATTTCACAGTTGATATGTTTCTTAAGAATGAACACCATGGTTCAGGAAAGGCCCTTGGGGGCAGGGGGTGTCTCTTTGAGGGTGTGGTGGTGTTGTAGTAACTTAGTGTGAATTTTTTCAATTTTTAAATAGAACTTTGCTGCTTTTTGTTGGCATCTGAATTCTTTTTGGTGGTCATTTCTCAGGTTAAAACTATAGTGATAAAAGCAAGCAGGCTGTCACAGGAGTAGAACTAGAGTAGATTAAAGTTACCGTTTAGTCAGTTCATCTCATTTGCTTGCATTTGTGCCTTACTTAACAGTGGGTGAGACCAGTTCTCCAACTTGTTTGTAGGGTGGTTTACACATCCATCATCAGGGCTAAATATTTGTTTTAGGCAAGTCCTGCTGATTTCACATGAGATGCTAAGTCAGGTCCTTATTGCTTCCCAGAGTGGTGTCATGAATTATTAGGACAAAAAGTTCTATGCTGACTTATTTAATAGATTGGCTTTACCTAAACCTAATATAGTCTTTTATGATACTGACTTCTTACACATTCATCTTATTCCTAATGGCTAAGGAAAATATGGACTATTCTATATTCAGTCTTAGCATACCTATGTATGTTACACTATACATGCATATTTTTAGCTAAAACGTAATACTACTTAAAGGTCATTTTTAATGTTAAGATAAATTTCTGTCAAGGCAAAAGGTTTATTTTTGTAATTATTTATTTATTTATTATTTAAAGCTATTTTTTATTAAAATATATTTAATTGACAAGTAAAGATAGAATATATTCAAGATATATAACATAATGATTGAGAATAATTTGTTTTATTAGGATCTCTGCCTGTGAACTTTGGCTTACCTGAAATTAGTCTCATCGAGTTGTATTTGGGCTTTGGTATTAACTGCTTAACACTAAGCTAAGAAAAAAATTGCCATAGTGTGCTTTTTTCTGGCTGTTAAGATGAGACTTACTTGTAGGAAATTCTCAAAGCAGGCAGAAGTCTCAAAGCAGGCAGAAGTTAGATCAGATTATAATGGGATTTCAGGTTCAGTAAAATTGTGAAGAGGTTGTCCATAATCTAGCCCCTTCCCAATATTGGTCACATTCAAATATTCTGCATATCTACTGCCATGAATGAAGATATGGGTGTTACTCACTAGAATAAGAGGGATTGGTTGCTGAAGAGCTTTCATTTGTTCCATTCTTAGTGCCTGTCGTTTTAAGAAAGCAAATAAAACAAATCACTTGTGGTTAATGTGTGCCAATCCTCACAATGTTCTCTCCACCCTCATATTTAAGGAAGCATCTGAGATATCTAGGTATGATGCTGTAATTACATAACATTTAGTCTGAAAGTGCTATGTTTTGTAGATCAATATTGGTAGCATTTTCTTGGTGAGAAAGGGTCAAATAACACAAGTTTCCTCTCAGACACACAGTTATCATACCTTGAGACTGCGAGATGTTCACTGGAATTGTAAGTAATATTGGGGATAATATACTGGTTTTAGAAGGAGTTGCATCTTGTTGTTGGGTGTTACCTGAAGGAAAATCACAAATTCAGTCAGACTATGGTATTACCTCTTCCGTGGATTTTTTTTTTTTTTGCTTATTGAACAGTTTGCATATCTGAAGATCTGTGAAAACTATTTATTGTTGAGTACCAAGATACATACAGCTGTAACACCAAACCACAAGTTCATATATTCTTCATGGAAAAATTATTAAATTTGGAGTCACAAAACCTAGGTACCAATACATCTTCAAGAACTGGCTAAGAAAACTTGAGTTTTTTCATCTAACCGTACAGCCTGCACACACTATTGCATGAGATTCTTGTAGGATGCAAATGCAAGAAAAAACATTTTTCAAATTTCAGACACTAGAACTTAGAGCGATAGTGATTATTAAAATCACACACATAGACCTCTCACAACAACAAAGATCTGAGTATCACATGTTCTCACTCATATAGTGGACCTTGATCATCCAATGTAATACCATAAGACAATGACTGACAGTGGTGGGAAACTATGGGGGGTAGGGAAGGGAGATGGGATTAATGGTAGTAAATATCTGTCTGGGGACGGGGAGACACCTCTTATCAACAAGGGTGCCAGAACGAAGCATATTTGTATACCTAACCCTTAACTGTACCCCACAATATCATAATAAAAAATATTGATTATAAAAAAACTTACACACATAGCTTTGGATAACAGAATTGGGGGGAAAGAAAAAGAAGACTCCTTCATTTTCATCCCTAAAACTCAGCAGCTGTTTATACTGTGTGCTTTATGTAGAATCAATGCTACTTGGTTATAGTTCCACTACTGTCTACACTCTTTTCTTCCAAGAAAAATGTAAATTAAAAATTTATTGTTGCTTCTGGCAAGATGGCAATGGGCAGCTTGGTCTATGAGAACTCCTCAAAAGAGAACACAAAAGTGCTCTGGCTCTCTCCCCAGGGGCTGCAGATCCCATCGTGGGCAGCCTGCTCTTCACACGGAGCTTAGCCGTTGACACCGCTGAAGCATCACAGCAGTTAGGGCAGCAGCAGCAGCCACCACCGCCACCACAACTGCTGCCACCATCATTGCACATTGCACCACCTGTGCCTGAGGCGAGCCACACCTTCAGACCTTGAAGCCCCTGCAAGCAAGATCTGCTGAGATTGCTGCTGCCACTACTGCCATCGTGAAGTTCTGCCAGACCGTGGGTCTCCTCCCGTGTGCCTTGAGGCAGCTCACATTTCTGGCTTCTTTCCAGCTCCCTCCCGTGTGGGGTGAGCAGCTGAGCTAAAGACCATCTTGAGTGGTGAGAAAACACCACCTGCTGGTGATTCAAGGTAACAACACCAAAAGGGGAAAACAGAAGCTTGATAGACACAGGCCAGATCTGAGTGGTGAACTGGGCGGTGGTGAACTGAGTGGTAATCTGAACTGCCCTCACAGCAGACCAGGGGCAACTGATCCTATCTGTGAACAAATTTACCAGCCTGAAAAGACAGTTAGAAATCAGAACTGAAAGGATATTGGAAAAAAACGAAAAGTCTCAGAGTGTGCTTGATTGGTTCTGTCAGTTTACTGACTTGATTATATTCCTTTTGTTTTGTTCCTTTTTTTTCTCTCTTTTCTTTCCTTCTCTCTGTAAACCATATCTTTGTATAGAGGAATAGCACACAAATAAAGAGATTGGTTAGCTTGTATGTTAGCATCATCGTATGCTTTAGGTTTTTTGTGTGTGTGAGAGTTGGTTAGTTTGTAGCTGTGGTCTATTATTTTTATCTGTTTCAATTGTTGTCTCTCTCTCCATTTGTTGGTACACTCATCTGATTTCCCCTATACTCCTCTCTCTTTCTACCCACCTCTTCCCCCCACTGTCTGCTCCATTCTCTTCCCTCTGTTAACATCATTTTATTTCAGAGAGCAAAACTACAACCCCACTGCATGGACAGATTCCAAGGCAGTGGGAAGTGGGTTTCAGATTATCCATACACCTGTCGGCGGATACCAGGACCTGCAGAGAGATTTTGAATCACAGCTCCCCCCTTAAGTAAATCTCAAAACTGCAAATGGACCACCCCCAACCTACAGTGCAACTCCAGAATTGAACAAAGTAAGAGGATAAAAGAAGAATAGAAGACTGAGCAAACAGAAGTAAAAGCAACCCCTCCACCACTGAATAACAGAATGAAAGAAGACGGTGATGTGGAGGGAAGGAAAAAGTAGGGAGGAAAAAAATTGCACAAATGAAGAAAAACCAAAAGAAGAATATAGGTCTCACACAGACCCCTAGGAGGTCCAGACACCGAGAAAACAGACTTTGGAATACAAACAATGAAGAGCCCCCAGAATGACTGGTCACAAGCAACAAACCCAGACATCAAGACATTAATGGAGAGAATAAAAACATTGAGGAGAGACAAGAGGAAAATAGGAAGGACAATGACAGATATAACAGCAGTAAAGAATACTGTGATGGAAATAAATAACAAACTAATAAGAATGGAAAGCAGAATTAGCCAAGCAGAAGAAAGAATCTCAGAGCTCAAAGACCAAAACACAGAACTAACACAAACTGTCAAAAACAGAAAAGAAGCTTAAAAAGACAACAAAATCTTCAAGAGATGAATGATCACTTCAAGAGAAAAAACCTAAGAGTAATTGGCCTTCCTGAGGCAGAGAGAGAAACAGAGGCCACACTGGAACAAACATTTCATGAAATCATTCAAGAAAACTTCCCTTATCTCATCGGTGATGCTAAAATTCAAACACAAGAGATTCAGAGAACCCCTGTGAGACAACAAATGAGAAGACTAACTCCCAGACACATAATAATTTGCCTAAACAAAGTAGGTATAAAAGAAAAAATCCTAAAGGCAGCGAGAGAAAAAGGTCAGACTACCTACCAAGAAAGACCAATTAGAATAGCAGCATATTTATTGATAGAAACCCTCCAGGCTAGGAGAACATGTAACCCTATCTTCAAAGTTCTAAAAGATAAACAATTTCAACTGAGAATAACCTAAAAGCTAAGCTTTATCAGTGATGGAGAATTGAAATCATTCCCAGATATTCAATCCCTAAGAACCTACGCTGCCACCAGACCACCTCTACAAGAAACACTTAAGAAAGTATTGAACACAGAAGAAAAGGAAAAAAGAACAACAACGTTCTTCCCAAGAGTACAGGCAAAAGATTAAAAACACACATGAATTGACTCTAAAACCAAAAGAAAGACAACACAGAAATAGGAAGAACAACAACAACTCTATAAAAACATTATGATACAGATCAACTCTCACATTTCAATAATTAGCTTGAATGTGAACAGACTAGATGTACTACTGAAAAGACATAGAATGGCAAAATGGATAAAATATCACCAGGCAACAATTTATTGCCTTCAAGAGACTCACCTCACTAGAAAGGACACTCACAGACTCAAAGTAAGAGGATGGGAAACAAATTTTCTGGTGAATGGAACACAAAAGAAAGGAGGAGTCGTGATCTTCATCTCAGACAAAACACCCTTTAAGTTACCAAAACTTAAAAAAGATACAGAAGGCCACTGAATACTGATAAAAGGTTCAATCCATCAACAAGAAATATCTATCCTAAACATATATGCACCCAACACAATAGCATCAACTTACATAAAACAGCTTCTAAGTAAACTAAAAAAAGATATCAACTCCAACACCATCATAGCTGGGGACTTCGACACCCCACTCACAACCATTGACAGATCATCAAGACAAAAAAATCAGCAAAGAGATCTGAAACCTCAATGTGACTCTTTACCAAATGGACTTAATTGATACCTACAGAATGCTCCATCCAAAGACCACAGAATATACATTCTACTCATCACCACATAGAACGTGCTCTAAGATTGACCACATACTTGGCCATAAATCAAGCTTAAGCAAATTTAAAAGGACCGAAATTTTACCATGCACCTTCTCGGGACCACAGTGGAATAAAAATAAACATTAACACCAACAAGGTCCCCCCAAAGCCCATAAAGTCATGGACACTAATGCTAAACAACTCCTGGGCCAACAATGAAATCAAAACAGAGATGAAAAGATACCTGGAAACAAATGAAAATGAAGAAACATCTTACCAAAATCTTTGGGATGCCATGAAAGCTGTAGTAAGAGGGGAATTGATATCCCTACAAAGACACACGAAGAAAATAGAAGGATCACAAATTAACAGCCTAACAAGCCACCTAAGGAAGCTGGAAAAGCAAGACCACCAAAACCCTAATTTCAGCAGAAGAATCCAGATCACCGAAATAAAAGCCCAAACCAGGACAAAGAAGACAAAAAGATTATACAAAAAAAATCAATGAAACAAAAAGCTGGTTCTTTGAAAGGATAAACAAGCTTGATGGTCCCCTAGCTAGACTGACCAAGAAAAAGAGAGGAAAAAGTCCAAATAAACACAATCAGAAATACAAAAGATGAAGTCACATCTGATCCTGAAGAAATACAAAAGATCATTAGAGAATACTATGTACACTTGTATGGAAACAAACTTGAAAACATTAAGGAAATGGAGGACTTTCTGACATCAAACAAGCTGCCTAGGTTGAAACAAGAAGAAATTGAGACCTTAAATAGACCAATAACAATCAAGGAAACTGACAACATAATAAGAAAACTGCCTCCAAAAAAAAAGAAAAAAGCCCTGGTCCAGATGGCTTTCCAGCAGAATTCTATAAGACATTTAAGGAGGAGCTGATACCAATCCTACTGAAGGTATTCCAGGTGATTGAGAAGGATGGAACTCTTCCCAAAATATTTTACAAAGCAAACATCACATTGATACCCAAGCCAGGTAAAGACCCAACATAGAAAGAGAACTACAGGCCAATATCTTTGATGAACATAGATGCAAAAATTCTCAACAAGATTGTAGCAAACTGGATTCAACAACATATCTCAAAAATCATCCATCCTGACCAAGTAGGCTTCATCCCTGGGATTTAAGGCTGGTTCAACATTCATAAAACCATAAATGTAATTAAA